ATAAACTCTGTTTATCAGTGAAGCTCCTTTAGAAACAGATAAAGTATATAAACTCTGGTTTCTTCAAACTTTTTTTTATATAGCAAAGAAAGTAATTCTTAATGTATTGGTTTTGTGTTGCACAAGCAGTTTCATCTGTAAATAATATGTTTGTATTATGTAAGCTTTCTTAGTGAAAAAAACATGAACATGTTGTTACTAATCAAAAAGTAGAATTATTCAGTAGTGAAATAATTGGCTACATGTATGAACTTTGCCCAGAATTTCCAAGACCTGACGAAATGTTTCAAACAAATTGGCTGTGATCACGCACATCTACCATTAGAATAGACTTACAAGTAGGATTTGGCATTCCATAAAACATAAAATAAGCTCAAGAGATTGGTCTGTTCGTTCCAGCTTTAAACGCTACAGACATGCAGACAGCTGGTTTGTTTATTCGTATTGTTCATTTATGTAATCATTTATTTCGTAAATTACGCACGAGCAAAGCAAAATGGATAATTTGTTTATTTGATGAGGTTTTATTTTTAGAATCGACGACAAGAGTTTTGTACCAGACATATTCTTCTGTTGAAATATGAACATAATGTTACCAGACATAGTCTTCTGTTGAAACATGAATTTGCTGTTACCAGACATAGTCTTCTGTTGAAACATGAACATGCTGTTACTGGACATAGTCTTCTGTTGAAACATAAACTTGCTGTTACCAGACATATTCTTCTGTTAAAACATGAACATGTTGTTACCAGACATATTCTTCTGTTAACGGCAAGTTCATATTTCAACAGAAGAATATGTCTGGTAACGGCAAGTTTATGTTTCAACAGAAGACTATGTCTAGTAACAGCATGTTCATGTTTCAACAGAAGACTGTGTTTGTTTAACGTTTTTTCAATCACTTTATATTCTTAAATTAAACCTTTGTAATTCGCATTCTCATTATTTTCATGGATAATTTTAGCGCAGGCTTTCTGAGCTCTGTCTACCGCGGGAAATAAAAGCCAGGATTTTAGCGTCGTAAGTACGGAAAGTTAGCGCTGACCATTCTTTTCATGTCAATTTCTTCATTATCTTTTAATCAACCCCAATTTTCTTTTCTGGTTTGTTTCATCTGAATGATTATTGTTTTATTTTCTTCCTCGAATGTTTTGTTCTGAGGCCATTAGTTTACCTGAATATTCTTGTATTCAAATCTCCTTTTCTATATTTTTCTTCTTTTCCCCTTTCTTTCAATCTTTTGTACGTAAATAAACTCTTCATTTGTTTGTTTGCTTTGAATTTCGCGCAAAGCTACACGAGGGCTATCTGCGCTAGCCATCCATAATTTAGCAGTGTATGACTAGAGGGAAGGCAGCTAGTCATCACCACCCACCGCCAACTCTTGGGCTACTCTTTTACCAACGAATAATGGGATTGACCGTCACATTATAACGCCCCCACGGCTGAAAGGGCGAGCATGTTTGGTGTGACGGGGATTCGAACCCGCGACCCTCAGATTGCGAGTCGAGTGCCTTAACCACCTGGCCATGCCGGGCCCCTCTTCATTTGTCTTTATTTAATCATTCTATTTCACGCGCTAACTAACTTACTGCGATATAGTGATACACATGTGAAGTATGTTATATAATGTGAAGTATTTTATAGGTTCTTTAACAAGGGTTTATTGATATCGTATGACAAAATATTTTATCAAATCAAATATTTCCTTGTGGCTTTAATACTCATTAGTTCTCAAACGCATCATTTCCACCTGAACCTACGTTCGTTCACCAATTCATCTTTCTGTTTGTTGTTCTGCTTGCATGTCTGTCCTTCCATTCCCATAACTGGCGATCAGTAAGTCTCCATTCATCTATCTCTCTGACTATCTGCCCATTCAATAATCTCTCTCTCTTCTCCCAGTTGGCTGTCAGCTATTTCATACACCCACCTTCCTGTTTGTCTGTCAGCTATTTCATACACCCACCTTCCTGTTTGTCTGTCATGATTTTATCCTTACAATCAACACCTCGTTTTATAATAAATCTTCCAAACCTGATTCCTACTAACAACTTGAAATAACTGTGTGTAGACAGCTGCCGAACTAAAGGGTATTTTAATAACTTTTAGTACTGAAAAATGGATAAAGCCGATAAACCAATATTTACGTCGTTGTTAAAAAGCATGGGATCGTTGACGTACAGTATCATCTGTTTGTAAGAACTCATCTTGCTACCCAACAACAACCAATTCCATTGTGAGTCCCACGTGCTAAAACATACCCACTATTAACAAAATTGATCATCAGGCCGTTTCGCGAATTACATTTATGTATATATACGTATCTGTGTGTATTTTTATATGTATCTATGTGTATGTATACATATTACACCAGTGTTTTCTAAACTGTGAGGTGCGCCACGCTGGAGGAGGGGCGGTCTTTATGGCAGGAGAGCCCAAAAATATGGGCGGAAGAAACAGAAGAGCTGGAAATGATGATAACCTAACAAAACTACTAACAAAACTATCACTTTGTTCTCAAAGCTTTTTTCTTTATTTTACTCTCGCATTTACTCACTCCTTGTGAACATTTTTATTATCATTTTAAACAAATCATTAAAAATAACTAAAAAAGTGTTGATTTCCCTGTTATCACTTGCGAAAATTATTTTAATGTGAATGGGGTGCGCAACGGAAATTTTGCTGAGTTAGGGGGAGGAGCCGCTGTTTAAAGTATGGTATACATTGTATTACATGTATATTAGCGTGATCGGGTCCATATTTTGAGAGAGAGGGTGACACTCTGCGCTATCTATTTTTCAGAGCTAGATATGCATAATGTATCTGCAAATTAAAAAAAAAATCTTGCAACATTTAAATTTACAGGAAGAGAAATAATTGATTTGAAATTGGATATCTAATGTAAAATAAATATATGTTTAAATATCACAATTTCTGACTATTTTCCGACAAGAATTTTGTCAAGCATAACTATTAGTAACAAGTTACATTTATGTTTGAAATTGCACATGTACTTATTAACGTTATTGATCTGTTTCGAGCTTGCGTTGTTTATAAACAAGTGATTTTTTTGTCTTTAAAAAGTTAGTTGAAAATAATCATATTTGGAAGTGAGGGGACCTGATGTAATTAACTTCAAGTTTAGTTAAGTTTATGACTGGGTAGGTGTCTTACAATGCTAAAATCCGAGGTTCGATTCCCCGCGGTAGACAAATCGCACATGGCCCATTTAGTTTTCGCTAAAAACCACAAATAAACTAAAATACACTAGTTATTGTTGTATTAAATCGTATATTTAGTTTTCGCTAAAAACCACAAACAAACAAAAATACACTAGTTATTGTTGTATTAGATTGTATATTTAGTTTTCGCTAAAAACCAAAAGTAAACTAAAATACACTAGTTATTGTTGTATGTGCGGAATGTCATTAATTAAAACTTAAGTATTTTCTGGAAAACAAGTTGCAGATTTTTTCTTCATTTGTTTGACAGGAAACGCTGGTAATATTAATTATTCTGTTTTAAAGTTAAAAGAAGAACGATGGGGGACGAAAAATAGTGAAAAAATTGAGAAAAGAAACACGTTCGAATAAAACATTTTACGAATTTCAGATTTAAATTAAATTATCCGTAAATAAGAAAAAAAAACTTTTTGAAGAAATAATAACCGACCGAAAATCGCGAGAAGCCAAGAAAACAAAAGTAAGCTCCATCGCAAATGTTTGACAATTCCAACAAATGTTTTAAATTCTTCAGTGTTTATCATGTTGTCTTATTTTTTGTCTATAACATCTTAGGTCAATAGAAAGATGAACGATTATCTGATATTTATTTTCTGTAATAACAATTTAGAAATAAAACTACGATGATGCTTCAGGTAACTGAATGTTGTTTTGCATGTAAGATGGAGTATATGTATCTTGCATTTATGGCAAAGCTACAAAAGCTATCGCCACCATCACTAATTTTGAATTACTGATCAGAGGGTTGGCAGCCAGTCAGCAGCATCCTGGTACCAACTATCCACGCTAACGAACTAACTATCACTCTTATAACACAAATAGCTTATGGTATCGCACGGATTCGAATATGGCACCTACACCATGGCGTCAACCCTAAGAAAGAAAACGTCCAGTTCTAAAGAAAAAGCTACTACTTACCCCATATATCGCCTTCCAGATGCACAGCGGCGTGTCTGCGGACTTACAACGCTAGAATCCGGGTTTCGATACCCGTGGTGGGCAGAGCACAGGTAGCCCATTGTGTAGCTTTGTGCTTAGCTTCAAAACAAACAAACAAACTCCATATATTTCTAGAATTTCCTAACACTGAAATATCAGACAGAAATGAAAGTTGAATACAATAATTAGATATAACTCTAAATTAGAGCAACGAGAGTTAAACCTATTCCGCTAACCATATAAGCGGAATGATACTGAGTTTTGACTTTTACATTTACGATGGTAGACCAAAAACATAAATGTTGAAAGGAAATTGTTCAAGTAAGTTTATTGCTGCCGTAGTTACGACATAAATGTTGAAAGGAAATTGTTCAAATAAGTTTATTGCTGCCGTAGTTACGACATAAATGTTGAGAGGAAATTGTTCAAGTAAGTTTATTGCTGCCGTAGTTACGACATAAATGTTGAAAGGAAATTGTTCAAATAAGTTTATTGCTGCCGTAGTTACGACATAAATGTTCGAAATGAGACCAATAAACTCTCAAGAAGAAATGTAACTTCAATTTAAGACTAAAAGTAATGACAAGTGACGAGTTAGTGGCTTGTTTGTCCTTCAGCTCAAAAGTAAAAGTAAACAAAGAAATATATAATTTAGAATATATATAAGATAGTGTTTGTTTAAATTAAAATCGAATATAATAATAAGCAAGAAACGGACTTGGATACTTGGATTGAAGGTATTTATTAAGAGGTTGGTGTGAAGTTTAATGTGACTAAGTTAACAATATATATATATATACTTTTATTTTACAGAATAAACTCGCTTTCCTTCTTAAAGAGAGATGAGCCTATGTAAATCTTCACCGTTCTCCACCAGGGCGAAGTCTCTGCGTGAAAAGTTTGGATCTAAACGAAGTTTATCAGAAAACTTGAGGGATCCTCCTGTGCCACAGACAGAACGATTTCCAGAGCGACAGTCGATTTCTGGATGCTTACGAGTAGCTCCTAGACTTCCAACTGAACACTTTAATCCATATTCTACCCTATCGGAAGATACATATTGTAGTGCTCTGGACATTAACTCTCACCAAGAAGATCCACGATTCCCGTGGCAAAGAGATATCGCTATTCAATGCGATATGTCCCCAGAAGACGTTTCCTCTTCTTCACTTTCTTTGACGGTTCCTTTCGGGGCACTGAGTAGGAGCAACGTCCAGCCTGATTCACGATGGGGTAACAGGCAGGGAAGGACTGGAGAGTTGGGTCGATGCTACAGTGCGGTCTCTTACAAAAATGTGCCAAAATCTGCTCTAAAATATATGTTTGTTCCGTCCAGTTCGGAGCAGCCACAAGGAAATCCAGGCTTGCGTGAGGAGCTACTTTCTCGCCGAAAGTGCAGCTCCGGTCTTCAGCGATCCATGTCTCTAGAGCGTGGCAACGGCAGGTCTAAATTAGTCCACCAGATGTCGATGGACGACAGCCGAATTGATCAGCCACATCTATATGTGCCCCATCACGTGCAAACTCTGACCCCAAGTTTGGAAGTTGTCCCTTCAAGTGAGGTTACTTCCCCTATTACATGTGAAGTATCAAAAAATTGTAGCGCCCCCAATTCCCGTACAGTCACGCCTTCCCATGAGATGCCACTTCATCCGCCCGGTGGTATAAGCATTCCGAGTTTGACCATGCGCAAACCTAGTGCAGCAGAACTCCGAAAATTACGTTTTGTACGAAAAGAAACAAATTCGGCACCAGACTCCATGGAAGAAAACACTCCACAAACACCTGAAATAAAGCTGACCAATTATTTTAACGTAGACACGATACAGAAATATCTTGACCTAACTTTTAACAACGCTTTAGACGGTCGCTTTCATTTAAACCTTCCATCTGGAAACGGTAAGATTAATATGAAGTAATCATTCATTAGTCTATTATCGTGTAAAATTACAAAAATAATGTTGAGTGTACGTTAGAGGTCTGAAAATGATGACAAAACCAAAATGACGTCACTGCTGTTATTAGTAGCCTGTTTAATTTCGAATTAATACCTTTTTATTACAACATACTAATTACTAACTACTTTATTTCTTACATTTTGGTTGCTAATCTGCTGTAGTATGAAAGAATATCCGGACCATATTTTCTTAATAGAAATGCTTGTATGCTATTAACTCAGCCACATCTACACTCTGTATGGATAACTTATAAGTTATAATTTAACGGATATCATCTCCGTCGTAGAGATTCACTATTCCATCTCTTAGTTAGCTATCTGGTAGACATATTACCATAATGAACAAAAACAAAATAACAAACTACATCTCCACATTTAAAAACCTAGTTACCTTTGTAAATATTTTTTAAACAAACTACTATAGTCTCACTAGACACAATGATTAGCGTATTCACTAATGTACCAACCTTTGGAATAGTACAGATCTTCGCTAACAGTTTTAAGTTGATAGGAACGCACCTAACTGAAAAACTCTCTATAACATTACTCACAACATTTTGTATCAGCTCAACTCCCTTTTAACATGACAATAAATACTATCAGCAAAGAAGAAGGCCTAGTAAGGGTTTCACCTCTTTTGTCCCTATGTAGGGTAGCATATTAAAGTTAATGTCCTCAAAAGAGGGACATTTACCTGAGCTTTGATGATGACAAGTTCGTATAATCTGACCACACACTACAATCGAGATGACAAAATTCAAGAAACACCTGAACAGACAGAATTTAGCAATGCAATTCACAATGGAAGTACAACAAGCATTCACTCCTAGACATGATGGTTACTAAGAAACATAACTCGTATACCACAGAAATTCCACATATACTGGTACATATTCTTACATTTTAGAATAAACAAGATTTGTAGCGTAGAAGATGCTAAAAAAAGGAAGAAAACACTTCAGTACAGTCTTCCTTGAAATGAACACCTTAAACACTCGATAAAGAAGAAATAAAAAACAAACATCGAGAATAAACAAGAAAAAAAAGTTACAAACACATCCATGTTCCCCTATCTCAAATGTCTTTCTGCAAGCATACAGAGGATATGTAAACATAACGAAGTCGTAGCACAATGGAGCAGTTAAAACAGTTAAAGCACTAAAACACCTCAATACCCCCCAAAAGAGTAAAACAACAACAACAACAACAAAACTATGCATTTTACAACATCTCTGGTGATGGTAGATTTCAATACGTTGTAGAAACAAACATACAAACAAAAGTTAGGTTCAGGAACACAATAAACTTTGTAATGCCGTTTTATACGAAATAACCCTCCACATCAGAATAGAAGACCATACGATAAAATGAAATAATATGAAAATAATGGAATGTACACCACACGTGAAAAAGATAAGGAGACTCATAACACACTCAGTCAACCTACTATAGAATTAAAAATAACCTTGATATCTCTCTTGAAAACATTCAAGAGCTAGTTGACTCAAATCCTAATCAAAAAGACTGACCTTTCTATCAAAAACGACCAATGGTCGAACCCTTGTCACGACTACCACAAAAAAGTCCCTCCCAGGGTTTCCTTAAAAGATGACAAAGATCAGTAACTTAAACTAACTAGTTAGTAATTAGTACTTAATAATAAAAAGAGTAAAATTTATTAATCACTGATTTCAACAGCTGTGGTTTAACTTAACAGATAACATCATAAATGTTAATCCAACTTAATGCCACACGAGGCTCTCGCAACCACATAATATTTAATGTATGTTACACAAATAGATAAGTTTAGATACCCATTGTTTTTGGATCACACCAAATCAACAGTGAGACATTAAAGCTTTTACTACCACATTTCATAGATAAACGACTTTTCCAGTATGAGGTTCGTTTTTACATACACGATAGAAAACAAAAAGCTATGTTTTAATATCTAATTTTTTTTATCTAAAAGTTGAAATTGGCAATCACAGTAGGCATACAGTACACATTTGTATGAAATATAGTTTGCTACCATTCACGTAGCTACTTAATAATGGTGACATTTCTTGACCAGTTTGTATATGTTTGATATCACTCAAATTATGACATACTAAGTTTTCCGGGGCTAAGACCCGCTTTGACTAAGGCTATACTAAGTGATGCCATAGTGAGACACACTTTGATTTATGTCATATTAAGTACTAAAGTTTCGAGAGAAATAGTTAAGATACTCCTTCCTCTTCGTTAAAGTCCAGGCTGGGTAGTCTTATAATAAGAACTGTAGGCTAGAGACAAGAAGTTGGTAAATTAATATATATATATATTTAAAGTTGAGGTCCATGTCCGGTAATGCCATAGTAAGAACTATAGGTTAGACGAGAAGTGAGTAAATACCTGCTTTTGGTTGAAGTACAGGCCATGTAATGCTATAATAAGAGCCAAAGGTTGGAGAAGAAGTGAGTACATTAATTCTTTCTGGTGGTTAGGTCCTGGCCGATTGATGCTATAATAAGAACTAAACGTTTGACGAAAAGTGAACAAATAACATTTTCTATATGGTGAGGTACAGGCGGGTTAATACATTAGTAAGAACTAAAGGCTAGACGAGAAGTGGACAAATAACATTTTCTATTTGGTGAGGTACAGGCGGGTTAATACATTAGTAAGAACTAAAGGCTAGACGAGAAGTGGACAAATAACATTTTCTATTTGGTGAGGTACAGGCGGGTTAATACATTAGTAAGAACTAAAGGCTAGACGAGAAGTGGACAAATAACATTTTCTGATGCCATACATCGAATTGACGGGTAAACGAGATGTGTGTAAGTTAATCCTCTATGGTGGTTGAGATCCAGACCAGGTAATGCCATAAAGTTAATCCTCTATGGTGGTTGAGATCCAGACCAGGTAATGCCATAAAGTTAATACTCTATGGTGGTTGAGATCCAGACCAGGTAATGCCATAAAGTTAATCCTCTATGGTGGTTGAGATCCAGACCGGGTAATGCCATAGAAAGAAGTAAATGATAGACAAAAAATCAGTAAATATATGCTTTCTGAAATTACAGCCATGTAATACGAAAATAAGAATGAACTGATAAACGAGAAATGTGCAATTCTTTATTGTGATTGGAGTCCAGGTCACGTAACGCTATAGTAAAACAAAAGGGAATCCTCACTAGCCACGGCGTTTGAAATTCTTTTAGGTTTGTTTGTTTGAAGTTAAGCACAAAGCAACACAATAGGCTATCTATGCTTTGCCCACCACGGATATTGAAACCCGGATTCTAGCCTTGTAAGTCCGCAGACTTACCGCTCTGCCACTGGGGAGTATTCTTTTAGGCAGGATTAGAGTAAATTAATTTATGAGACATTTTTTTTTCTCTATTTATAACCTATATTTTTGTGCGCAAGCAATACCAAACGTTGGGTGCGCGTATACCCGATTCGATTATATTACTCATCAGAATCTCTACTAGCCTACCCTTATATTGAAATTCTTTTAGCAGGATTAGAGCACATTAATCTGTGATTCCTTGGTCTTGATCAATCGAAAGGGTTTGACTTCATGAGTCCAAAATTGTAATTATTTCTCAAATCAGTCAAGAGATGACGGAGCTATGAGCTAAATGTTTGTACTTGAAAAAGAACTCCATTCTATGAGTCGCTATGCCGCAGCTAAAAATAAAGGTTACAAAAGGAGTGTTTAAATAAGTTCTTTCTTGTGGTTGATGTACATGTAGAGTAATGCTTTAGCAAGAAATGAGGATTTGATGAAAAGTGGATAAATTAATAATGTCTGATAGATGATGTTCAAGATGGATTATTTCACAGCAAGAACTGAATTTGTATTGAAAAGTGTGTAAATAACTCCTTTCTGGTCGTTGAGATACAAGTGACATAATGCCATAATAAGAATTAAAGGACAGACAACAAGTGTTGAATGAGGTACAGGTTGGGGGGAGGGGGAGAGGAATGCTATATTAAGCATTAAAGATAAAATGAAAAGTGGTTTCATAAATACTTTCTAATACATGAGTTGCATGTCAGGTATTGTCACAGTAACAGCTAAAGATTAGATTATAGGTGGATCAATTAATCCTTTGTGGCGTTTGAAGACCAGAACAGGTAATGCTATAGTGAGGACTGAAGGTTAGACGAAAAGTTAGTAAATTAATCTTTTCTTGTGGTTGAGATCAAAGCTTGGTTATACCATAATAAAAATTAAAGGCTAGAGAGAAGTGCATAAATAAACGTATTATTGTAGTTAAGTTGCATGCAGGGTAATGCAATAGTAAAAAATAACGATTAAACAAGAAGTGGGTAAATGATTTTTTCTGGTGGTGAGGTCCAGGCTGGTTTATGCCATGGTAAGAAGTAAAGTTTAGACGAAAAGTGGGAAAATAAATGTTTTTGGTTTTTGACGTTCTTGCCAATGCGATACTACGAACTAACAAGTAAACTAGACGTGTGCAAATTACTGTCTGGTGGTGGAGTTCCTGGCCAGATTACTCCATAGTAAGGACTACCAGGTAAACTAGAAGTGTGCAAATTACTCTCTGGTGATTGAGCTCCTGACCAGGTTACTCCATATTAACAACTAACATGTAAACTAGGAGCGTGCAAGTTACTCTCTGGTGGTTGAGTTTCTGACCACGTTGCTCCATACTAACAACTAACAGTTAAACTAGAAGTGTGCAAATTACTCTCTGGTGGTTGAGTTCCTGACCACGTTACTCCATCGTAAGAACTAATGATTAGACAAAAAGTGGGTATATAAAAACTTTATTTTGGTTAAGGTACAGGCAAATCAATGCCCTAATAAAGATAAAATGTTAGACGAGAAATGGGTGAATTAATCCTTTGTAGTTGTTGACGTTAAGGCGGATTAATACCATAGTAAGAACTAAAGTATAAATTGAAAGCATGTGTATGAATCTTT